AGTAATTACACGAACAAATGCCCACTGAGACAATAAACTACTGTGAACTAATGATAAGCCGTCGACAATTTTGCAGACGACGAAGTCAGAAAGACCACTTGAAATCCTAAATCTATATTCGGACATTTGTTTGCTTGACAACGGAAATGCTTATCCGGTTACCTTTTGCATTCCAACAGCGTCTTCCGCTGAAGTCTGCGAGTGTGAGAAACTTACTCAAAGTTAGCCGGTCAAAAGCGCAACACGCAAGCCGCACATAGTGAGGCCTTCGGTGCTGCCGGAAGGAGGCAAGATACGGCGAGATTACGTACAGGAAAATCCTATTTCCAAGTAGACGGGATAAGCCAAGTCATGATTTCGTCGTGCTCTAAAATGCAGCTGAGACGGAGTCAGAAAAAGGCGCGCAGTGAGAACATCGAGCTCTTCAGATGCAGGCATATGTCACGCCGCATATTTGTCCAAGAGTGGATGGCAAACACCGTCTTCTAAGCGATTTTATGTCGATGCCAGTTGTCGATGGAAACGGAGCGACTGTTTAGTCCGATTTTCGGTCTCGACTATGTTGCTCGGGACCTTAGCTGTGCACGGTCCCGATAATTGCAATCCCCCGTCCCGACATTCTATTTGTCTGTAATAAGGGTGATAAAGCATCCCTAATTTTCACTCATCTACGCGCACAGCATAACATTCAAAAGCGTATTAGGAATTATAACTGGGACAAGTGGAAGTGTGAAAGAGCCGGTGGACGGACATCGTCGCTTTCGCGACTAGGATTCTCGACCAGTACGATCGTCTCCGGACAAGCCTATGATTTCCAAAAGCTGGAGGTCATTGTTCGAAGCAGCGTAGATTGCAGAATGAACTAGATAAATCGGCAGCGGTGGACATGTGAGGTTATAAATGTTTGGCAAGTCGTAAATGGTAGGTAGGAATTCTTTTGCTTCCTTACATGACCGCCAAAGACGACAATTTATTCTAAAAGAACCAGCTCCTTAAAGTAAGGATGAGTACAGTGAGAGGCACAAAAGGACTGAAGCAGTAGCCCTTATTGCAATAGACAGTGATGGCGAATAATCTAGCTACTGACCTTGTATTCCAGCATTTTTATATGCATTTTAGTAGGGTCGCATACTGCT